GAAGCACCACTGTCTGCTGAGAATAAACAGAAGGTGAAACACTTTTAAATCAATTACCTGATCATAGTGGAATAATCTTCTTACTTTAACAAAAGCAATTACTGTATGTCAAGGCTATTCATTTAAAAGGTTTCCAGAATCAGACCACCTCTTTGGTGGTGTTTCAGCTCACACTTTCCATGGCTAGATTATTTGTAAATGTTCTATTGGGTATGAAATGAATAAATGGTATGGTGAAAATATGAACTAATGAAATATTAAATGGCTACAATAGCTCACTACCACTCTTAATGGCTGAATTCACTATTGCTAGCCCCCCCCAAAAAAAACCCCTCACAATGACATTAGTCCCACAGGTCCCAGTGGGCTTTAGACATGTTTTTCCCCCACTGCCAGCACATGCCAAAGTACTTTTGAAATTGAGGAAATTTCAGAAGCACTTGTTCATAACATAATTGGTATACTGAGGACAATTACAAATACATTGTACAGTGCCTCATACACCTACCCATATCTGATTTTGAGTTACAAAAATCTAGAAATGAAATACAGACTTTCCTTATGAGCAGGATCCAATGAACAGATCAGCATTTCAAAGCAAAAAACAAGTGCAAGCATCTTGGGTGAATCTAAGCAGTTTTTTAATCACAACCTTTATTCTGGTGTGTGTATGTCTGTGTATGAGTGTGCATTATTTTAAAAAGTAGTGTTATGCTGCTTGCCCTTCAGAATAGTACCACAGGAAAACCATGACAATATACCAGGGTTGTATAAGGCTGTACATAGGTGGGAGACGGAGACTACAATAAACAGCTGCTACTAGTTTCCAGAACGCTTCATAGTGACTTATAGTGCAACTGAAAAATTAGCATGGAGTATTGAGTACTTAATCACTTTCATTTGTTGATCTCTTAGTTTACCAGGAATGTCTGGCAAGAGACTGCTAAGTATTGGAGTATGGTTTCTTTCAAACTAAAGAGGTGTGAAAGGGTGGGAATAAACAGGAATTAATGGGAGTATTCTGGTCATCATTCACCTCATAATTTCAGGGGATATGAACCTTATATTGAAGACACAGACAAGGCCAGCCTGAGGCACCACAAGGACTAGGATAGACTGACCATTTAATGTACTGGAAGAGTTTCCAGCAGGCCACTGACAGCCGAGAACATGAACAGCCAAGCCCCATTAGCTCTGCCAGCACTTCAGGGGCCATGTTCAGCTGTACACCCTTTCAGCTGTACTTTTTCTCAATGTTTTAAAAGCCTTTCTTTTAAAAAATAGACAAAAAGCAGTTTTGCTTCCTTCTGCCGCCTAGTTAGCCCCTTATAATTAATTTATTTATAACACTTTATTAATGTCAACATTACATTTAGCTAGTTAGTTTTTTAGCCTTCCCCATCCCCCATTATTAGAACTGCAAATAACTTTCTGCAGTACCTCAAGGCTAGACTACTGCAACGCTCTCTACATGGGGCTGCCTTTGTCGCAAATCCGGAGGCTGCAACTGGTGCAGAATGCTGCGGCCAGGCTGTTAATGGGTCTCTCTAGAAGGGACCATGTGCGGCCTGCGCTGAAAGCGCTGCACTGGTTGCCAATAGCATACCGGATTCGCTTCAAAGTGCTGGTCGTTACCTATAAAGCCCTACATGGCCAGGGTCCAACCTACCTGAAGGACCGCCTTTCCCCGTATGTTCCCCCAAGAGCACTACGGTCAGGGGCCCGAAATTTATTAGTCATCCCGGGCCCTAAGGATGTCAAACTAGCCCCCACGAGGACCAGGGCCTTTTCGGTGGCGGCTCCTACCTGGTGGAATGAGCTCCCGGAGGAGATCAGGGCCCTGCGGGACCTCATGCAATTCCGCAGGGCCTGCAAGACGGAGCTCTTCCGCCAGGCTTTTGAGTAGGAGCCGCCACCCCTACTATACCACCATCGCCCTGAGGTCCTGATTAAACATCTGCTATCGAAGAATCCTCCTGCCGTCTTCGTGGGACTTTGGACATTCAATCCGCCATCTTTTAGATTATGAATGGGAGTTTGAGCACCTGTTATTATATTTTAATATGTAGTATATGTTTTAAACTTTTTTGTATATATTGTTTTATCATGGCAAGTTGTTCTTGCCTCTGTGAGCCGCCCTGAGCCCACTGGGGAGGGCGGGTTATGAAAAATAAATAAATAAAATTAATAAAATTAATAACAAAACAAATACACAAGTCTAGTGCACAGCACCCTTTTTGGCCTTTAAACTGCAATGGCAGGAAAATGTCCATGCCAGGCTTCGGCCCTCCCTCCCTCCCTCCCAAACATCTTGCCATTTTCTCCATCTGTGTAGCTCTGGCTGAGGCTTCTCTTCACTTTGCAGGAAGATTTCAATCAACAGATGCCTTGAAGATGTTCAGTGCTTGCCAGGACATGATTAAGGGTGTACGCAGTTACAGAAAAAGGACTGGTTTTTGAAGCATAACTCAGCAAAGTTGTTAAACTCTCTTTGTTTTGTAAAGGAAGGGATATCCATCCTTGTCTGTGCTGCCTACACCTTCTTGGCTTCTAGTGACTAAATGGTCACTTCCAGTGCAAATAGCACAGGGACATTTTGGAGATAATATGACCCACAATGTTTAGATTCGCCTCTTTTTTGGCACTGCAACTCCCATGATTATGCAGAAGGTGGTGGCCAACTTTTAAGCTCCTAGATTTATTCTATGATGAGTTATGCCTGCCACATACAAGCACTCCAACTGATCATCTGTATTCTTTTCAATTTTAAAATCTGCGTCTCATCACCTGCTGCTACTTTACTGATGGTATAACTTTACTGACAGTGTATTTGACACTCCAGGGCAAACAATTTGGCTCCCTTACCTAAATAATATGTAAATTAGTTATTGCTAGAATGACTGCCCCGTCCACTTCCCTCCCTCAGAGGCAAGGTTTTCCCTCTGTTTTTCTTTCCCTGTCTGACTGAGCCACTCTAGTAATATGTTTTCTTCTTTGCAGAAGAACTCTGGCTGTCCTGTCAAAGTACGATATTTTGGCTGTTGGCTCAGCCTCAGAACCTGAGGGAAGGATCAGGAGCCCACTTTAATTTAAACAACTTAAATGGCACTTGAGGCATTTTGAAATTCAAAATTAACAAAATATTTTATTTAACATAGAGCGGAAAGGTCAGGTGAAATAAGGGGTTGAAAATTTTTAGGTAAAATCAGTACATGCACAGACTTTAGTTCTTATGTTTCAGACTTTCTTTTCAAAGAAACTTAAATCTTTATGTTGAGAGGCTTTTGTTCCAGTGTTTTCCCCAAACACTTCAGTACACTTTCTTTGAGTATTCTCTAACTCTTTTGGTTTCCAGAAGGCTGGTGCACTCTTTTCAGTACCCAAACCTCTTCTCTTAAAACACCAGTACCCAGCTTGAGTTTTTAACTGAGGTCTCTAAAGGCAGTTTCTAACCACACCAGACCAGGGATCTCTGCACTCTTCAGAGCTAACTCCCTATTTGACTGAGGAGGGAATTTTCTTCTCTGTCTAGGAGATCTATCCCCTTTCCTTGGCTCGATTGGGAGTCTTTGCCTACTTCCCAAACTTCCTTGCAAACTTACCCCCAGTTCTTCTGTTTGTTTTAAACTGTTCTTCTCTGCTAGGGCTGAAATCAGACTGCCAGGGCTCAAATCAGTCAAGGCAGAAATCTGACTGACTGTCTCCTCAGCATGCAACTCTCAAGTCTATCTCTTATGAGCTGATGGTAACCAATCACATCTATTGGAGAAGCCTGTCTGTGAAGAATTAACCCTCCACAGTCCTTTAGCTGTTTGTACAGGACTTCTAAGTTTTTAAAAAGTGTAGTACATCACAGCTAGCGAAGTAGTTACAAAGTTTATTGAAAATATGTTGAAATGCCCATGGGAGAGGAGTATTCTATCAGGAAAGAAACTGTAATTTTTAAAAAAGAAAAAAGTAGGAAAATATAACTGATCATGAACAGTAACTACTTGATCTTCATTCAGTGTTCAGTCATCTAATTCCAACTCAATCAGACTCAGACAGCATTACTAGCAAAGAGAATATTTGTGTGAATTGTTAAGAACTCAGTTTTCCTTGGTTGATAATCACTGCCACCAAATGCAAAAACCTCAGCTTTCTAATGTATCTTGCTATTTAATGCACAAGAATGTCTGGTAAAACTATCTGGATCTTCTTTAAGAGTTGTTAATAGTAGGCAATTTCATAACATTTTGTGCAATACTAGCAGAATTTTCATAGTGCAGTCCACTAATTTGCTGCTGTCTTTCAAATCTTCCACAAAAGCCAAAGAAAGTTAGAAACACAGGAATAAAAATGAGACCGTGAGCAGCTCCAAACAAAATAACCAAGAACATAATTTTAAAAAATGTTCTGAAAATGTAAGTGGCTGCCAGGGAGAGCACGAGTACTCCCACAATGGTGGAAACAGCTCCCTGGACAACAGGGTAACCAAGGCGGTATAGAGCATCCACCGCCCTGTCATTCATGCTGGGTTTCTCGCTGCTAACAAAGGCATAAGAAATGTGAGCAGAGAAGTCCACTGAAAACCCTATGCAAATAACAAGGTTGATCATGGAAATGGAGTCAAGATTGACATCCCAAAAGGCCATGAAGCCAGTCACCCCAACAATAACAGACGCAATAGCAAAAGTTACCCACAGTGAGCACAAAGGATTGGGAATCAGCAGCAAGGAAATAAGTAACATGGCTCCAGTAGCAATCACGACGTTTTGAATGGTGTTCTGAGCTATCACAAGGTACTGATCGAAGTATATAAAAGCGGGATGATAAACTATCAGTGGTATGTTACAGTCTGCTGCAAGGCCTCTCAGTTGTTCTAAAAGATCTCGCTCATCAATTGCACTAGTGACATTGACTGTCTGTATGAAAAATCGTGAAGCTGATATTTCCAGAATTTCCAGATCAGTAAAATTAACATCCCACTGAGAGTCTGGATTGACTTGGAACAGGACAGATAAATTACCAATGAAAGAGCTACGATCATCTACATTTAGAAACATTCCTTTAGCAATTGTTATGTACATTCTCAACCATGACTCTGATAAATACTTATCAACGTAGGTTGAGTTTTCTATCAACTGCATGCAGTTCTCAAGATCTGCACGAACACTTGAATTCCAATATGGTATGTTTTCAGGAACAATGACCATCACCCTTGGACCATACTCTTTAAAATACTCATCTTCCCAGTTATAATATTGAATGACATAAGAATGATCACTGGCTAGATTTCGAAGATCTATACCTTCTTTAACCTGAGTGCACCCATATATACTACTACCTAGATAACCAACATACAGGACTACCACAAACACCTTGGTCCAGGGGTGCACAAGAAAAGGGCCAAAATACTTTCTAAAGAATCCATTCATAGGATGCTCAAACTCTGCCCCAGTGGTCTCATCATAAGATCCTCCCACACAGCACATGTTATATGCAGAACCACGAGAATCATCAGTTTCAGTCGACACTGTCATGAACGTGAGCCAGTGTCTATTGCTTTCTTCTCTTCTACCGTTCAGGGCAAGGACTGCTCCAAAGAATGTCAAGTTGTAAATGTAGCAGAAGACAAAGGCTGTTCCTGTATAGATGCAAAATGACTGAATTGATGGGAAGGATGTTGCAATGCCAATGTAGAAGGCTAAAACGTCAGTGAGAGTTGTGATGGTAACAGACACAGCCGCCTCTGCGTAGGTGTCAGCCATTCGATCCTTGATTCTGTCCTTGACCTTAGTCTGTTGCCAGCAGGACACCATGATGAACATGTCATCAACACCAACCCCTGAAGAAAGACAAAGAATCTTATCAGTTCCCACATATTGTATGAGAAGATAAATTTACATGCAAGGAATGCCTTGTAATAAATATATATCATCACATGGATAATGAAAATGCACACAAAGTTTTATGTATTTCTTTTTCTTCCAAATGCTTAACAGAACCATAGGAACAAGATCACTCTCTTCAGGGGCTTTAATCATGTCTGTCACCAGTATCACATTTAAAAACCCCGCTTTTAGCCAGGCACAGGTGTTAGAGAATAAGCCTGATATTTGCTTTATGGACTATTTATTGCTACACACAATGCACTGTGCACATACACATAGGCTCAGAAAGCTGTACACTTTAGGTCACCTGTTGTGATGCCACACATAGAGGGTGCCTGCACATACCTTACATGTAAATAAGGTTTCAGCTACACAGTTGCCCAGCCTCCATTATTGTGAGCAATGAAACAAC